ATGTTCATTTTACAGATAGAAGGCATAAAAAACATATTATGTGTCAGTGACTATGTAGCGATGGACTGGACTCGAATGAGAGTGGGACAGAATTTGATTTATACCTATGACAAAGCTCACGCTGAAGAAATCTACAATAATCTGACAAAAGCTGTGAAAGATAATGATCTGAAAATTAAGGTCTACAGGAAAAGTGTAAGTCACAACCTCACTTTTTTTTGTTTGTTGTCACTTGCTTACTATTTTTGGATTACCCAGTAGACGAAGCAATTCGGTACGGGTGGGTGAAGCCGGTGAGTAGGAGAGGGTAACCTGCGAGTATCATAGCTGTCGTTGTAGCGGCTGTAAAATGCGCGGTGATGGTGCTAGGGCCTTACAGTGAGCCGATGACGGCTAATGCAAGCTTATGGACGAGATACCTCGCGCACACCCCATGACAAGCAACGTGGATTACAACGTAGCAATTAATTGAAATACGCACGGGTTAGTGGAGCCATGGAGCAAGCAAGATTAGGCAACTCGTCTGGACGCACTCTTCCCTCATTTTAAGGTGATGGAAAGGGAGTTTGAGGATTTCACCGTCAGTATGTTTCGCTCCCCATTCCATTAACAGTCAACTGCATCCACAACCATTATTGACCACTGTTACTCTACCAATTTGGTTAGGATTGTTGCTTTGAGGATTCTATGGCAGGAGTTAGACCACTGATTTCCCCACACTTACTCGAGAAAATGGCAAAGATGGAGGGCTACAGAGAGGCCCCCTCATTGCAAAGGAGCTATTGAATTCTCATGTAAGATGCCTTAAAGGACGAATTCACGATTAGAATGAAGTCGAAGAAGGAGTAATTCACCTAGTTGAGGGACCCGCGGACCTCCTGAGGGTGCGACTGAAGCGCAATTGGCACCGAAGGAGTTGACCTCGGCGACCTATTAAGGCTCAATCTTGGCGCGGTGGGCCAGTGCACGCCCACCGACCATCTGATCACTCGCCGCAGGTCTATACGTGGCGAGTGATTAGATAGGTGAGAGAGCGTAGTGTTGAAGAGGGCACAGCGATGAGAGTCGCAGAGGCACAGAGATGATAGTCATCAATGCTAAAATCAACGGGCAAGGAGGGGGTCCCATTTCTCGAAAATAAAAAAAAATTCTGGGACGCTTCTCTCATATGTTCTTCCTTCTTTCGTGTGACCACTCACATCCCTAGTTAAGGCATAACAGTCCGGATTTCTGGCAAAAAATCTGTTTCCCATCAAATAGGCACATAGTAAGCGGTACAGACCAGTCCAAAGTCCGGGGCGTTTTGATAGGTTAGGCGCTAGGAACCTATGTATTGAGCATTGCGCGACCCCAAACCCCATGAGCCCACATCCTACTCTGGTATTCACGCAACCATCTAGGACGCTAGATGCTGAGCCGTTGTTTGGAAAGTCGTAGGGGAATACTTAGCGGATTTCAACTGCGAGAATCAATATCAAAGCCTATGTTACGACCATTTTCGAGAACGCTGGTATGATCCTAGTGAGAAGAAAAAATTTTAAGATAGGAAGAAAACGGAAAAAAGCACTGAAAAATAGAAAAAATAGGGAAACTAGAAGAAAATCAGTTTTCATTGTTGGCCGTGTCGGTTGATGGCACAAAGCCAACAGTTGCTGTAGACATGTCCAAACGCGTAATTTTCCCAGCCCTGGTTCGTAAGCGACTAACGAAGAGGAATTTTCTAATTTGAGTTTCGTTGGAATATTATTTTCCTGCTTCTTTCTATTATTTTCAGATCGATAAGCTCTATAGTACCTACACTCCATACTCGAATAGTGGTACCTCGTTTACCCGAATTTGCCTTAATTGGAATGGTCGTGGCTTTTTCATCTCGTGAATTTCGCCTTTAAAATCAATAGGACTACTAACAGTGGGGGACACTAGCATAGAGACCGGGTAAAATACCCTGGACTCGATGTGACATCAACAAGCGATAGGTCGATTTTGCTAGGTAGGTTTGTGAGGCCAGGACTCCTCTAGCTCTGCAAAGCACGAACTTGATCTGGGATACCAAAACGGATAGCAGATATAATTGGGTGTGAAAAGCTAGAAGAACACTGATCAGTTTCTTACTTCCCCATGTTCGCATAAGTGAAATATGTGCGTACGCTGTTAACCCTATGCTGAACCCAGTGATCAATATGGCGATTCTGGTTGCAGCACGTTTCATACCAATAGAAAAGGCCGCTGAAACGCTTCCCCTATGGTCTGTTCGGGGGGGGGGGAGGCAGCGACGAATCTTCAGCGCGCTGAATCGCCCTTACTCCCACAAGTGAGTTTAGGAAGGGAGGCACGGCATTAATGCTAATCCTCACATCTCTCCCTCCATCCACCTCCCCTCCCCCGACCGAACAATTCAAAGAAAAAGTTTTATTTCGGAAGAAAATTGATTATTCCAATATGCGATGAAATAGGTGAACTTCCGATTTTATATGGTATTTGAGATGAGAGATGGTATTTGAGGAATTCCCGGACTACCATTTCTATAAGGGAATGTCGTCACGAATAGGTGAAATTATACTTGAAGCTGAGATCGGATACGAAGTCGATTTTCGTTGCACTAGACAATGATTAAACGAGTAAGATTCAATATTAACATGGGCATGAAATTTGCTCATCATTTACTAACAATTAGTATGAAGCCTTTCATGCAGGAAGTATGACTATGGAAAGAAAAAGGTGCACAATGCAACGCATGGTCAAGACCAAGTAACCTTGAAATGTATGCGGTTCTTGCTCTTAGTGGACCCGATATCGGCAACAACCACAAAGTTTGTCGATTTTTCGTTCCGAAATTTTGAAAAACAAACAGTCTATAATTCGATTTTCTACGTTACTTCTGCGGCCGCTCAAGAGGAAAAGCAGTCACTGAGCGTCGTGTGCCTGACAGCAGATTCGTTAAAGCGATGCTAACATTGCGAATCGCGCGAACGCTAGCTGTCCGCGGTCGTCAGCGTCGCAGCAGTGAATCACTCCAATTGGCGCTGGTACCGCACACGACGCCGGCCTAGCGAATCCACGATTCAATAGTCTAAATTCGCGTCCAACAGTCTACCATCCCAGCAGTTTACTCAATGGAGGATCTGAGAGTGCTTTGTGCTACTAAGTCGGATGGCGAGACAAGTCAATACATTTTATTAGTCACAAGATTCTGTTCATGTGAAACATCGCTGATAAAATATTTTTGTATTATTGTGAATGTAGACTTTCGAATCAAGAGTGTCTGAGTGCCTCACATTCCCTTTCAGATAATCTTCTCAAACCTGATGGTTTCCTCCAATTTCATGTGCCAGGCTTCCTAGCATATACGCTACATCTCCCGTCGTACGCTGATTAATTGTCAGAGTTAATGCTATGATTCACTCTCATCAAACGATCAAGCTAGGCGCAGTTTCTAGTGTCCCAGCGCTCCGGTGAGATGGCGTCACCGGTCAAGCCGATCTCACATGTGTTTTTGTCATCATCGCAAAGGAAGTGGCCGTACCATCAAAGGCTGATGTCAGAGTCCACGATCCGTCGCGCGATTTGTCGCGCGAGATCACAAGAAGCGCAGAAGTGCCCCGATCAACTGCGAGGTGCTCTCCAATCCGCCGCCATTTCTGCTTGATTGTGATGGCTGAATGACGACTGTTCATGGTTCTGCTTGTTTCATATTCAGGGTTTTGAGTGTTCAAATGAGACACTTACGAATCGCGCGATGGATCGCGGACTCTGAAGCCGGCCGTAAAAAGCTTGATGCCGTTCCTCTTTGGAATTCAAAGTTTGGAATCAAACTGATGTGTTATTGCGCTTGAAAATCCAGCGAAGATGTACAGTATAACGCCGTAAAAAGTAATGAGAAGCTGTCGGCATGGCCAAAGGTCAAAAATAAAACCCGCTCTCTAGCAGCAACGAAACCAAATAGCACTATTTTGGGGCGGGGTCTATGGTAGTGGGCGGAGCATATGGTGTGATATCCTCGGGCCTTAATGCCTCAGCCTCTTTGAAGGCGGAATGCACGACTAGAAGGCAGCCTATTAGAAAAAAGGTGGAGGTGGTCAGTGATGCCGGAATGAAGAAAATTATGAGAAATGGCGAAGAACCCGAAAAATGGGACCCCTTCCTTGCCCGTTGATTTCCGCATTGATGCGACCTTCATCGGTACCCCCTCTTCAACGCTGATGCCAAGCAGCTAGAGACCAGCGGCGAGTGGTTAACGAGTCGGTAGGTGTGCGCGTCGAAGCAGTGTGGGCCAGTTAGTTCGCCGGAGCATATCTTTTCTGGGGAAATGCATGTCGATCCGCACCCTACAGGGTTCGCCTGTCTTGCCACTAGGTAAGTTTCCCCTTCTTCGACGTTCGACCTTACCGCGGAATCCCTTAAGTCGTGGTGCCGAGGGTACATGCTCTACGCTTGTGCCACTCCATATTTCTCGCGCAATGCCTTCATTACGTCCGGAAATCGCGGGCTTAGCTTTTAAATAGTATGGGGATAAGAAACATGATGTAAGAGAAACTTCGAAATAACCTTGGCATAATTTCAGGCAGGACGGGCAGCGAATATCCTCGATCTGTACTCTTTAATGTGCTTTTTGCTCAAAGTCGATCCCGCTCCAAACAATGGTTCACTCCATAGGATTGCATCTAATTTTTATCTTAAAAATTATGGGTACGAGGTGAGTCGCTGGCAATACTTTCCGTTGAGTGACACTTGGAAATATGCAATACTTATACGGCCACACAATTAGTTATTTATTTGTTTATTTATTTACAAGCATGTCCAGGCTATCATTAGACTCACTGAACCATCACAATAGGTAAGAACAATAATTATATGTGTTGTCATGAAGTAAACGCGCATCAATAAGCATTCGCGTTTTTATTAAAAAAAATCTGGCATCAAGTCAGCATGTTCCCAGCTTTTCCCAGGATAGTCCTAGATAAAAATAATATAAAAAAATAAAAAAGAGAAAGATTAAGGAGGAGATAAAATGTAGAAAAGGATACGAAAAAGACCTTAATGAAATAATTCCTCACTCGTGCCTCATGCTTCGTAATAATTGCAAAAAACAATATACGGACACAGTAACTCGAATCTAAGTCTAAAATGTTCAAAAATTAAGCTTTTCTCGAGCGGCCCATGCGCGTCCTGCCTTCTTTCAGCATATTATCATTGCGAACACGTGACCATAAGAAATGAGTTTTCCAAGTCACGAATTCAAACAACGCATCGAAAAATGGCACAAATGATATTTCTATAGCAACCTCAAAAGGCTGTGGTTAGAATAACTGAGAGGCCGTGACTGGAGTTCAGCGACAACCTACACAGCTGCTGGCACTAAGCATTCAACCCTTTGTGTGCAGCCCTCATACTTGCGCAGAATTCGCAGACAACGGAAGGAGAATCGTCTAAAATGATCGCTTTCGTTTCATGATTGGAAGTACTGACTCACAGGAAGATGTAAAAGCGTGTTGCTCTTGTGGATCAACTATCAATTTACTCATTGCCCATTTGTACCAACTAAGCATCATGGCTTATTCCTCACGGTATCTTCGTCCCGAATTCCTCCAGTTTACCTGAAGGCACGGGTAATCGTGAACTCCAGCGCCTCCTTAGTAGATTTCGCGCAGACATGAAAAATTTTCTATTCTGTGGTATAACTGTCACAGATGAATTGACCGATATGATCTGAGAGACTTACTAGTTAGTCCTAGTGAAAAAGACCATCTGATGTATTGTTGAATAGGTCCCGCGCAAGCTTAATAGCAAAAGCCTAGGAGACTCAAAAATTTTTTCAAAAAGTCTGCTTTCCACAGCAACTGCATGACCGAAATTGTGAACTTGCCTCTGGAATATCTGATTCCAATCAAACGAAGTTATCGCTCGTAGGACGAATGGTACTGGCATAAACATGCCGGCGAGAAATACCTGAAAAGCTTGAAGGTAGAGATCGCGCCGCAGAGTTCTATTTTTGGCACACCACAGAAGTTGGGTCGCGGGATCCATTTACATTACATTACATCAGGATACGCTACATTTATCCCTCGGTTCATTTCGTAGAATAGCCATTAGATTAGCTAATGCGGAGGTTTCTTCAAAAATAATACCAACTTGACTAATAGACTAGTTTGTATTTGTTTCTTACTGGCTTGTCAGAATGCACCCTTTCTATTACAGATTGTATCTACCTTATTCCTCTCTCCTTTTTGATCGCGATTGTGATCTCTTTTTTATGCGTAATCTCACACAGATATAATCCACTTTGATTGTAAATCCCACGCAGATATTCTGCGTCCATGAATAAATAAATAAATAAATAAAACCTTAGAAATACCCTGGTGGAGCTCAATCAAAAAAAAAAAAATAACGTGTCATTTCAACTGAACAGTCGATTACGATAGAATTGTGAAAGGCTCAGAGCGACCTGTCTTGACGGTCACTGCTATTGGTGCGCCAGTTTTCTCAAAAACGCAGATCAAAATCCGCCTAAAATATAAGACAAAGTTAGTACCACCTTGACCGCCCGTTATTTGACCATGAAACGGCGACAAAGAATAGTACTTCGTCTTCACCTATTAACACCTCTTTTGCATGCAACAAGCAATAGTGTTTTGATTGATAAAAATTACATAGGTAAGTTGGGAGAGACAGCCGATAAAAGGAAAACGATCTTCCAAAAGAAAAAGGTAACAGCAAATACATAGCTCGTCCAAATCACCAACTGAACTAGTGGCGTAACGCTTTTGGGGCGGAGTGCTTCGGAAGTCCTGCTCAGCAACCAGGGCACCTTTCGTCGTGAAGCGCCACACTTCGCTTCTTGAGCAGCCAAGTAACTGCTTCGTGTGGCGCATACACACGCTCACGCTCAATACGGCACTTCCTTATGGTAATCGCTGCCTTCAAAGGAAATATACGTTTTGAAATCTTTGTCCGACCACACCCCAAACTTTCTAAGTCTCAAACACTTCCGGATTTCGTTATTCGATTCAAGAAGTTCGTTGTAATAACGAACTCCTATGAAGCTGTTCTACGGTTCTCTTCCAAAAAAGGTGGGCATTTGGCGCAGCGGTTCGTGCTGCCTACAGTAATCCTAATCTCTGCAGAAAGAGGATGCTGTGTGGATAGTGTAAAAGTCGAACCGAAATGGCTCACGTGCATCCGCGAATTTCCTCCCCTTCTAAAAGGAATTTGAAATGAATTGAAAAAAAAATCGTGAAATTTCTGCATTCACAAACTGTCGCACCACATGCACCATTATAGGAATAGAGCCTGTTCTCCTTATACTTTACAGCTGTTTCTACCTGTACTACGTGTGTATACTTGAATCGTTATTTAGTACATCAATGGAATTCTAATTGTGGCAATACCGTTGATTGGATTAACATTAATCGTCATATTATGCATCATTGTCCGATGTGTGCTGTACCAGCGATCGGAACAGGTTCATCTTTCCTCTCATCACTCTTTATCTATTGCTCTGCATAACCATTCAAGCAAAGTCGTGCAGAATAAGAGGGCAGCCGAATAATTGGCCGCTCAAAACTTCCCACGCCAAAAAGAAGACCTCTTCATGATCATCTCATCTATCTAATCACTCGCCACGTATTGAACTACGGCGAGTGATCAGATGATCGGTGGGCGGAGATCGCCGGACCCGCCAGCTTTGAGGCATGATAGGTCGCCGAGGTCAAATTTTTCCATGCGAATTGCGCGTCAGTTCGCACCCTCAGGAGGTCCGTGGGTCCCTCAACTAGGTCAGTTTCCCTTTCTTCGACCTTCATTCTAATCGTGAATTCCTCCTTTAAGGGTCGTAATCGTAGCATGTTCGCTGTGTTAGAGATCTCGAAAAAGTCAAAATTCGAGCGCGATTTTGAACCCTGCGACATTTTTGTAATATAACTATTTACCTTATTCTGAATAGATATGTAGGAGAATATGTGAGCCAACTATTTATGCCGTTTCATTTAGCTTTAGAGCTTCAAAAAAGACCTTCGTGAACAACATAATTCGATCTCGGATTGAGGTGAGGTGTATGTCGTGGGAATTCCGGCTAATACGACCCCCTCCTAAAAGCTGTGAGTGTAACACCCTCTCCCTCTCAATCACAACATCTGAGGCCCCGTACACCGGATTATCCCTTAAGTTGTACTTTCGATCACCCATGGCAAGTACCATTTTGAGCCCGCTACATTACATACAGTAGGGCCAAAAAGTGTTCGCCGGGAACTGTTTTCCCTTGTTCCTGTTTCTTTGGCCAGAAAAAATTAATTGGTAATCTTAAACTTTTTTCTTCTGTGTATCATGATTCCTCAAGACCCAAGGGTAAGACACAAGGAAACATAGTATTATATATCAATCTTTGGGCGGCGCTGCTCATGTGAGAAAATAATGCACGAAAAATCATTTTCGGCGAACACTTTTGACGCAACTGTATATTTTTGAATTAAAGTCGAATGCATGGCGCACATTAGAACTGATCACACAACACCGCGTTCTATACTCTTCACCGCTTATCGCTCCTGCATGCAGCGATGAACTACTATTACTTGAGCTCAAAAAAAAACTTGAAAATAATAAGGATGATTCAGCCATTCATGTTGGGATGAAATGGTGCCCCGGTAGCGTAACTGGTAGCGCACTTGCCCGGAAAGCGAGAGGTGCGGGTTCTAGTCCCGCCTGGGGCGAAAGTTTTGTTCACAACCCAGCATTCTTGTGAAACATTCCCATGAGTGTTCATTTGAATAGAAGAAAATTCCTTCTTGCCAAGAGGGTTCAAAATAGAAACACTTCGCCATGTTTTCAGCACCCTATTAAAACAGCTGAAATGAGCTGGGACTGGGTAATTTCAAAGCACATGTGTTGATTAGAAGAAGCGCTTGAAAGAGGAGTCACATGGCATCGTGAAGGATGGTGGCGATGCGACACTGCACTGCACTTTCGACGTCGACGAATCTTGAAAGGCTTTGCCATTCATCAGATCAGAAGGGGAACAGCCCCAACGTTGTGTTCGTGGATGAAGGCGATCCATCAATGTGACCGACAACGTCATTCAACACGAACGTGGCTGCGCTAATGGGCGAAAGGCATTCATCAAAAACTCATCATCAAATGGCTACTCAAAACTCAGACATCCAGCAGGTATCCAAATTAAGTTGGTTGTGTAACGCGATTCTATCGAAACACTTCCCTTTGCCCCCACCGGCCAACGACTGTAACTCAACATCGACTCAAACATTATAGGTCGCACAAACGAGCACTTCGAGTTGGCACGTAGGTCCGTGGGTCAAATTACTGGATACAGTTTTGATTTAGCGGTGAGGAATGTTTAAGGATCGTAGGGAAACAATATCATTTGCTCTCGTGGCTCATCATTTCAAACATATGGTACAGGGCGAGTCAAGTGCGGAGAAATTCGACCATTACGCCCCCCCCCTCCTTCTTCTTCCCTATCCAGCCGGCAACCACTACTTGGGTACCCCCTAGGAGGCCCGTCGCGCGGCAAGAAGGCCGAATCAGCGGACGAGTCGCGCGCGTATTAGGGAAATCGCGTCAAGTTAACGTCCTTCATCGCACATCACGCGCCGCGACTCGTCCGCCGACTCGGCCTTCTTGCCGCGCGATGGGCCTCCTGGGGAAGGGGGGGGGTACCCACCACTACTTGCATCCATCGGCAGATCCTACTCGCAGCTTACCAGAAACTAGAGCTCATTTTTCAAGAAAAACATCCACCGACTGGGGGATATAAATTTTTATGATGAAAACAGTATAGTATTGAAATGCAAGTGTGAAGTTCTCAAGATTTCACATGCTTTCACAATAAAATTCAAAATTCGCTGTGATTGCTCCTGAAAGGATTTGATTACCTCAAATAGTCTTACTTTCGCTTCAGAGAATACTCTGCCAAGTGCGCCCAATACGTCCCCGAGAGCCAAAATGCAACTTCCCATTGAGGAGTACTCCATGTTGGCTCACCCCCGGCCGGCTAACCATCAAACCAAACCAGGAAAAGGAGGGGTGGAATGCATTATTTTCCTGACGCGGATGTCGAGAATGCTTAGTGGCGCCTCTTAATTACTACGTTAACGGTAGCTCTCGATTCCACTATAATTGCAAATGAGAATTCCGGGGAACAACAACATCGAATGCCATAGATGCTTTTGGGTGGCAGCCTTAGGCCGTGTATATGCTGAGCTTTTTTCAAAGGATCGAAATTCACCAAGAAGGGAAAAATACGCATTGGTCAGGGGAATCGGAAAAAAAGTGGACAGTAGAGTTTTAGAGAATTGGGGAATTGAAGGATCGGCGAAAAGCTCAAGTGCGCATTGATTAATCCACCTATTTTGTATTTGTGCGTGTGATATCGCCTGGGACACGATTCCATCAATGTAACAATCGAGATGCACCTAATCCTCCCTTTGATCTGCGACCGCAACCCGAATAGTGTCGAGAGTGAACGTGCGCGGAGAGCACAGACGGCTCGCGCATGGCGAGAGTGAATGTCCGCGCGGGAGAGCGTGACTGAACAGGCGAAAATCCTCGACGAGCGTCGACAAATCCTCGACCGATTTTCACCCTGTTGAGCAACCATGTTGCGGCTCATTGCTTCCACTTGGTGGACGATCCTATGCAATCGATTGTCGCCTCACGTCGGATGAGGCGGCACCCCGGGGATTACCTCCCTATGCTCGCGCGCGAAGCGCGCGCAGCGTTCAGCCTCGCCGCGCAAGCGGCGAG